CCCAACACCGCCCGCGCGGCCACATTCTGGACCAGTTGGAGTCTCCGGGTGCTCCTCAGAGGGAGCCCCATGTAGAGAGCATTACAGTAGTCCAGGCGAGAGGTGACGAGAGCATGAGTGACTGTGCGCAAGGCGTCCCGGTCCAGAAAAGGTCGCAACTGGTGAATCAGGCGGACCTGATAAAACGCCCCCCTGGTCATACTTTCAGACATCCCAAAACTGGACTCAGTGAGCTCTACTCTTAAAAATAACATTTTCTTCAAGTCAAACTCCTGGTGACTCTATGGACATGTCTGGGTTGTTTTCTTGGCAATCACTTGAAAGCGGTTTCTCCTCTACCTTCTTCAGAGATTTTTTTTAAATCTCTGTCTAGTCTCTAACCCTGAGACTGCCTGGTAGTCTTCCATACACATACTAACCAGCTCTAATCATGCTTAGCTTTTTTAAGATCATCTAAGATCAGTTACATGCTATTATTGCTAGGACTTGTGCTTTTAATTTAGGAATAATTTCATGGACAGACATGCACACGCACACAAACACACCCAATGTGATATAATGAAAAAAATAGATCAGCTGTCACAGATTTGGGCTTGGGCAGAGTTGATCCCAGTCAGAATATGATTATTGGAAACAATCAGACTGACACTTTTCTTCACCATACTCCATTATCCTGGTTGAACTAACTTCAGTTGTTAAATACCTGAAGTGAGAAAAGATGCACCTTTGGCTCCAAGATCATTCTTACATGTTTCCCTCCTACTTTCATGTTTGTTAAAAGGCTCCTGGCTTGATTCCTAGCCACAAAATGACTATGGATAGACACGTCTTTCTCTTAAACAATTGGAATGGGTGAAAAAAAAAAAAACTTTTCTAAGGAATTCACCAAATCAATAAAAATCAAAGTTTACCGTGTCATATAAAATCTGTTTTAATAACATATATATATATCTTTTTAAAAATATATCAATATATCTTTTTTAAAAGATATGAAAGGGTGTTACGACTCTTATCTTCACTTTTGTAGTCACTTTATTTTTCACCTTAAATACAATCAACAAGACAACACCTCCCTCTCCCTATCCATTAGTTGGATCCAGTGTAAGTTAGTATAACTCCATCCATATTATTCAGAAGTCCTACGAAGTTCAGTAGGTGTTATTCCAACACAAGTGAGTACAAGAATGCAAAATTTAGTGCCACTGAATCATTCCCCCAATATATCTGCCTCCAAACTTTCATCATTTGCAGTTCATGCTTGACTTGGTTTCTTCTGGTTACCACCAACTCACCGAAGCAAGCTTAAGTGAGCTAATATCTGAACTTATTTTATAGCTGCAAGTTTACAGCCATTTGACTGGTTTCAGTGAAACTCTGTATTCAGGTGATTTTAAACCATCTTTACATATATCTATCAAATGTTGAAATGAGACTTTTTACGCCTGATAAAATTCTCTATTGAGTCAGGTTCAAGAAAGCAGGTATTCAGAACTAAGGATAAATTTCCTGACAGTGAGAACAATAAACCAGTGGAACAACTTGCCTCCAGAAGTTGTGGGTGCTCCATCAGACCTCCAAGGTACCCTTTCCAACTCCATTATTCTGTTAGACTGTTAAAATGCAAAGTGCTGCCCAATTTATTTAAAAAATTTTGGGTGAAGGGGTAACTTTGAATAAGTGTTGTTTCATGAATGATTCCCTTCAGTTTTCTTGGCAAGATTTTTTAGAAATGGTTTGCCATTGCCTACTTCCTAGGGTTGAGATTGAGCGATTGGACCAAGGTTATTCGGCTGGTTTTGTTCCTACGGTAGGACTAGAATTTACATTCTCCTTGTTTCTAGCCTTAACCACAACACCAAACTGGGTGTCATTAGGAATACAAGATTATTTCATTTTATTTGATTGCAAAAATATGAAAGGATTTTATATCATTGAACAAATATGAGTACTCATGAATACGGATTACCCCCTAATCCATGAGGGGACTAGCACTCAGACTTTTTGCCCATCTATTTCATCCGTTCACTACCCTAATTTCCATTGCCACACCCAACAGACAGGCTTGCTGCTGTGTTGCGAATATACCTGTTTACCAACCTCTCTTGTGATAGATAGATAGATAGATAGATGATAGATAGATAGATAGATAGATAGATAGATAGATAGATAGATAGATAGATAGATAGATAGATAGATAGATAGATAGATAGATAGATAGATAGAAGTAAATCTCCATTAGTAACTGGTGTGGCTAAAAAGAAATCTGGCTAAAAACCACCAGAAAAGAATTAGAATTGAGGATTATTTAGCGCCAAGTCCAGAGCTGGGAAAATTTCATCATCAGCCAGCCAATTCGTCTTCCTTTTCCTACTCAAGAGACACACTTGTGGCTTCTGTCGCACCTGCTTTCTCCCAGCAGGTGCCGGTTAGATGCGGGGGAGGGTGGACACCAGACGGGGGTGAATGAGAGGCGACAGAAGCAGTTAGGCCTCTGTTCCTTCGAGAAGGTGCAGCCAACTCCTTCAGGGGTTGGGATTACCCTCTTCGCGGGATCACAGACACCCGCGGGCCCCTCCTTCCCCACCAGCAATCCGGGTTCGTATATGCACAAGCACACCCCTCTCCTGCAGCACCGCATTGGACTGCTGGCGCTCCAGCATGACATCAGGCTGGCCGGGATAGGGCCAGAGCGCAGGCGCCGCGGACTGGGGAGGGAGGCGAGCGGGTGGCAGGCGGCATCCAGGAGCAGCAGCAGCGGCAGCAGGCGGCCGAGAGCAGCGCGCTCGCTCCAGCATCTCCCGCAGCACTCCTCCGGTGCGGACTCGCGTCCTTGCCCGTCACCCGCAGCCTGTGCCCCGCTCTGGCGGCTCCCCTGTAGAGGTCGTAGCCTCCCTCCGCTGGTGGCGAGGGCAGGGGAGCGCTAGGGTCGCCCTGAGCCAAGGAGCCAGTCCGCAGACGCTGCTTCTCCCCGCCCTGCCCCTCGCTTTCCTCCCGGCGCAGCCCTCTGCCGAGCCAGGCGCATCATGTCCACGGGAGGCGATTTCGGGAACCCACTTAGAAAATTTAAACTGGTCTTCCTAGGGGAGCAAAGCGGTAAGTGGCCGGGCGCGCTTTCTCGCCTTATTCCCCCGCTCCCCCACCCGGGTCGCCTCCTGCAAAGTAGCCGCTGCGAAGGGAGCGTTGGCGCGCGGTGCCCCCCGGCTTGCTGCGGCAGGTGCCTGGATGCGCCCGGCTGCTGCTCTAGCCCTGCGCTCGTGGGCGCGCTGTCCCCGACCGGTCTCCTGCCAGGCGGGGGAGGACGAGCCAGGTTCTGGCCGACTCTATTGCGGCAGCTCTACCGTCGCTGGGGCGCCGCTTCGCCCCCTTCCTCTGGCTACCCTGTGCTGTCGGGTGGGCTGCAGCGTCGCTTCTGCCCGGGAAAGAGCATCCGGGGAGTTTGGAGGCCGGGCTGCTCGCCCAGGAGAAACGGGGAAAGATCGAAGTGTGGGTGTGGGGTTCCGACCGGTCGCTTCGCCTTTGAAAAAACAGGCAGCCTCCCCGTCGGCTTTGTAGGACCTCTCCGGGGGCGATGGCTAACAGGCAAACCTGCCGTTCATGGAGATCTCCTGCAAAAGAGATCTCTTAACAGGCAAACCTGTCGTTCATGTGATCTCCTGCAAAAGAGATGGGGCGGCAACGGGTGCAGGTAGACAATTCCGTTTTTATTTATATTTATTTTTGATTTTCGCCTTTCGGGTGGTTCTCGGGTCTTCTACACCCCCCTCCCCAGGTGGCACCGTAACCAGGGGATTTCCCGCTCTCCCCTCCCTCCTCCCCGCTCGGCTAGTCGGTTGCTGCTCCTTTGGGAAAGGTTTGCGCAAATAAAGCAGGAAGCGAGAGACGGGAGAGGACACACCCTGCCGCTGGTCAAGTCTCGGCCCCCGCCCCCCCCACCCATCTGCGACCAGATAGAGAACTTCCTGGGTTGTCTTCGCCGCGAGGGAGGGGAGCTCCGGGCGTTCCGTCTCAGGCCTACACCGCGCTTAACCTGCCCCCCCCCGCGCCCCCGCATCGTCCCTTCCCTGGATTTGGAGGAATTAGAGAGGCCAGACACCTTTCCTCCCATGGCCTCTGCCTGCGGAGTCCGCTTCGCGGCGGAAGGGGAAAGGGCAGCTGTTGCAGCCTGCAGGGCTTAACTTGGGCCAGGCTTGAAGGCTTGCCTCAAGGTACGGGCGAGCTATAAAACGGTAGAGCCTAGCACAGTGTTTCTCAACCTTGACAATTTTAAGGCATGTGGACTTCAACTCCCAGAATTCCACAGCCAGCGTTGCTGGCTGTGGAATTCTGGGAGTTGAAGTCCACATGCCTTAAAATTGTCAAGGTTGAGAGACATTGTGCGCGGCCTAGCAAGTGTTTTCTCTAAGCTGGTTTTCATTACATGTATTGCATAAAGGGAGTAAAAGAGTACAGCCCAGCTAGACTGGCCCACAAAGACACCTGCATCGTGTTTTCCAGCAGGATGCTCCAGAGAAGACTTATTAAGACCTATAGAAGAAATGGGAAACTGCTTATAATGCAGTGCTGGGCAGTTAATTTTCCCAAGGGCCCCACATGAGAACCTGGTACTGTTGTATAGGCCTGAACTAATAGGGCTGTGAAGTTGCAGAGGCATACAAGTCATGCTCATATGTAAACTGAAAAAAAAAATAGTCACCTTCAAAATGAAGGCAATCCATGTGAGCTGGACACAAACAGCCAAAGGGCTGGATGTGGCCTGAGGGCCATAAAATGCCCAGGTCTGTTATAATGGTTGGATTTCTACATCAGGCTTAGCCTTAGCCTGAATGTAACTTATACATACCTGCATTAAATCTTAGTTTGAATAATTAAGCTACAATCTATCTTGGCTGGCTTCGCAAACCACACTGACAAATTCTAAACACATTTTAGGTAAATGTTGCACAAATAAACCTGTGATTTGATGTGCTTGGCTAAAGTCATTGAGGTCAGTAAGTCATGATTTATGTCTTAAAGTGGGTGAACACAACCAGTTGTTAATTTAACAAACTATGACTTAGTGCAATGCAGTCCTTGCCTCTGATTCAGACCATTGGTGCATCTGGTCTGGTACCATTGATCTGGCAGATATTTAATGGATGTTTATCCAGCCTCTGTAATACTTAGGAGTACTGGGATTGAACCTGGAGCCTTCTATCTGTGCAATTTGAATTATTGCACAGATAATTTTCTGTGCAATAATTATTGCACAAAATTTTCTGTTACTTTTGTCTCTGGCTCCAGTATGTCGCCTCTTTGTCCCACTGCTGAAAAACCACAAACTAGTTTCTGCATTTATGGAATATGGAGCACATGATTTCAAAGACTCTTGAGACCCATCATGTTTTCTCTTTCTTGAAATTAGGTATCCATTTGATAATATCTACATCATAACAATTAAAAAAACACTAAAGGGAGGAAGCATGGATAATCACTTTGAAGAGCAGTAGGTCAATCTATGGGCCCATCCTCTTGGGATATACTTCCTCTTTAAAATTTAGCACAGAAATCAAGTCCATTAACCAAGCCACTTCTATATTTTAGACCAGAGATCCCCTTTCTTCATAAGGAAGCTTTGATAAATGATAAATGTCATTTTCAGGAGCTGTTTCCAGTGCATTCAAATCCATATCCCAGAGTAGTTTCTCTAGCCTGGAACTTCCTAAATGGTGTCTGGACCACAATTCTGAGGATTTCTCATTTGTACTCTAGTTGCTCCAGTATTTGAAACTCCCATAGGATTCCTCCAAAATGTACGATGTTTGAAGAAATTGGAGACAGGTGCTACAATGACACTCCATGTGTTCCAAATCAACTTGGGAACCTGAGCCTAGAGCAGGGGTGTCAAACTGCCAGCCCACGGGCCGGTTTCATCACATCGAAGCCGCGCCCACCCCATTGCTGGCAATGCAAAAAGAATCGCGATATGTCGCATCACATCACGTGACATGGCGAGTTTGACACCTGTGGCCTAGAGAGTGCAGAGCTCTAAGAAATGCAACAGTCTTTACAGCATTACTTTTTCTTTCAAATGATTCTTCAACTAATCATCTAAAACAGGTCTCTTACATCTTTTGTGTCTGTTTCTTATTGCTTTTACTAGCTGCCTGGACAAAATTACTCAAGTGAACTTCCTCAGTTTTTCTGGGAGATGTCCTCTTCCTTGCCAAACTTCTGATGCTATTGAAAGCACAATAATGGGCTTAGTGAGCAGCCATCTTAAGTTCCACTGAAGGCAATGTGTTGAAAATGGAAAGAATAGTATTTAAGTGGCTGCTTTCTGTTGTATAGCCAACTCATATACCTTCAGGCCAAACCATAATGTTTTAAAACATAGCTTGCAGTAGGAACATTAGACCGAGAGAAACACTAGACTTTAGTGTCCACAACTTACAATATCTACAACCTGATGTAGCTATTGGTTGTGATGGCTACAATATGATGCTAGCCATAGTCCATTCTTGGCTATTTGCCAAATTTATTCCAACTCGCATGGAAGTATAGTTTGGCAATTCAGGGACCTGACGTGCCAGAATTTAGAGGAGGTTGGAGACACCTTGAATCATCTTGAATCCATCTTGTTCACAGTTTGATAAAGCATTTTTGCATTCCATTTTTTTAAAAAATTCCAAAATTAGGAAAAGAATAGGACTTATATTGGCTACGTAAACAGTAGGAGGGTTTTGTGAGGGGGATTTGCTGATGTGGGGCTCAGCAAGTACCTCTTTTCTTCAGGACCAGCCCCATCAGGAGACATTTTGTGGCAACTGCTGAAGGCATCACACTATTCCAGGGCTAAGGAATTCTGGGAGTTGAAGTCCACGAGTCATAAAAGAGCCAAGGTTGCCTACCCCTGCACTATACAAAAGATAATTCATACCGCCACAAAACACGTCATGAAAGATAATTATTAGCACAACTATTAGCATCTACTGCCTGGTGGGGAGAGGTGCGTTGGGTTTTTCTTCTTGGATATTGTTCATCTGCAGAACACTGAGGTCGCCTTTGTCACTCTGCCTTGAGCAGCAAAATGCTTTGAGCTGTCCCTGCTCAGAGACAGAAGGAATGTTAATTACATTTTGAAAATGTTACATTCAAAATTGTGCTAGAGCAGAAGAGGGTAAGTCAAATGACCTTGGTTGGCTGCCTGTACCCATGCATCAGATAGGCTGCTATATTTCAAAGAATTAAATGGCTTTATGTTGAACAAAAAATATTTGATTTATCCGTGTTTGCCATTCCTCCATATCCTCAGGACAAAACCCCTAAATTAATAGCTTTGATATATTTCCTCTTTTTCACTTATCTCCCCTGATCGTGTCACGCTTTGGATTCCTTCTCTACTGTATATTCTTGAACCATGGGAAAAAAATTAGTTGTTGGCATGGATTGCTGTCTGAGCCTAAAAGTGGAGGGAGATGGCCTCTTAGTTTTGTTTCAGTTCTTAAGACAGATAGACAATTGCAGTGATAGAGAAATACATGCTCTGAGTATTAATTGGGGAAAATAATCCAATAAAAGAACATGCTTCTTTGTTTTTAAGCATTATTCCTAGTTTCCTTTTTCTGTAACATGGTAGACTAAGGCCCCAGCAAAAACAAAACAAACCCAAAAAACAAACCCAAGCTGCATCCTTAGGAACAAAAGCAGGCTTGGAAGAACCTGTAGGACTCCGTGGCATGAGCCCACACATTGCAGCTATTTAGTTGGGCTAGAGAGGAAGCAATTAAGTGAATGAAAAATTAAAATATAGTTATATAGCTGAAAAATGGGTCTAGTAAAGAAATAGTGGCCTGGTTATTTGTGGCCATTGGGGATAATGAAAGTTTTAGTGAAGCTGAAATGGTACCTTTTGGTCAGTACTATTCAATATCTTCATCAATGACTTAAATAAGAGAATTGAAGGGGAACTCATCATATTTGCAGATGACACCAAACTGGCAGGAGTAGCCAACACCCTAGAAGACAAACTCAGGATCCAAAAAGATCTTGACAAACTTGAACAAAGGCTCTATCCAACAAAATGAGTTTCAATGTAAAGCAAAGTTTTACATTTA